CCGGGGTGCGCCCAAACACCCCCCCCAAAACCCCCCTAATATTAAAACCGAACCGCCGAAATCCAGTTTTAATATTAGGGAGGGGGGGGGAGGGGGCCGTTTAATAATAGGGGGAAGGGATTAATGGAGTTCAACTGGGTAAAGAGGCTCCGAAGGTTCAACCTTCCAGGCTTCGGAACCACGGGGAGCTAACCTTCAAAGAGTGGTGTGCCTAAGAACTGGGTGCTTTTGATCAGCTTGCGGTTCGGTTTGCTTTTTTACGCAGGGCTGGATCGATGGTCTTGCAGGTAGTGCTGCTTAAAAAAGACAGTATGCCCCCCCCCCTCCCCCTCAAAAACATCTGCTGTTGCTTCTGCTTTGCGCGAGCATGAAGTGGCCACCAGGGGCAGCATTTGCAGCTGCCGGCCCTGAAGCCGTCATCACTGCCGTCTACGTCTCAGCTACATCAGTTCAGGACGCTGCGACTGGTATAGGCAACAGCTGCAGCCCAGGCCGACGCCTCGCAGCGATGGCACTGAGGGCAGTAGAGCGTCGAGCCCGGGCCATAGTTATGCCAACTCGAGAGGGCACAGCCAGAATCACAGAGTCAGATCTGGCAGGGAGACGAAGTACTAACATGCGAGATACATGCTAGAATCGTTGCTACACCTTGGAACAAGCAGCTAAACGGCCAACAGCGACATTCGAAAACTGCCTCATCAGTAGCAATCCGTGAGCATAGCGGCATGCTCCATAACTTGTCAATAGCCATGAGTGCGAAGAGGCACAATCGGTGGCATTCAGGGGTTTCGGGCGCATGGACTGGTCATGCCTCAGTGTGTGTTTTCCCTCACCGGGTCCTGCTTGAAAGTCCTCACAGCGCTACTGGCAGCAGCACTAAACACCCTTTACGCAGACGATGGTGCTGAGCGCGAAGATCGCTGTGTTGGCGGTGCGGATGATAAGCGTTTGCACAAGGTGCTCCAAGTCTTGTTTCTACTTGTAACAGTCATACTACTGCTTACAGAAAATAATAGCATTCATGAGTACTGTGATTTTTTCATGAGCATCAGCAACCGAATGTCAAGCTACCCCGCCAAGGCATCGGGGTACTTCGATGCGGGGCAACCAAGCATGTTGATTTGACTCGACGTGCAGTCGCCTTCAAGGTCTTGGTCTTCAGCCGTGCGGGCGTTTTGGGTTTTGTGTGTTGTTGGCCTTGTGGGCCCAGGTGCAGAAAGATACTTCAAGACTTCGGCACTTAGTGATAATCTGTCCTGGCTAATGTCGGCGGCCGTTCCCCGAAGCCTCGGTCAGGACTCAGCATCCAAACTAGAACCTCCAACGTTCACCAAAGCCCGACAAGTCTGAAACTCTTCCTGGGACAGCCCGGCAGCGACAACGGAAGACCCTGCTTCTTAAACCCTTACCCAAAATCCTAAAACCCTAAAACCCTAAAACCTAAAACCCTAAACCCCTAAGCCCCAAAACCCTAAACTTTAAACGGAGGTCGCCCCGGGCCAATGGGGCTGCCTTCACCGGTACAGGCGGGGCCGAAGGCATAAGGAGATACGGGGCTTTCCGAAAATAGGAACCCCCCAGCCCCCCCAAAAAAAGTACCCTAAATGGTAGCATCCTTGTTATAAGGACCCCAAAATAAGGTACCCCAATTTTTGGAAACTCCCTAGTACGGCACGATTTATTACTCTGACTGTCCGTCCCGTTCGAAGGCTGCTGTGAGGTCCGTAGCTGTTGCCACCTCTTGCCAGTCTGCCCATCATTGGTGCTGCTGCACCTTGCGACCGTTTGTTCGTTTGTGTGTGTGTGTGTGCCCGTTCGTTTGTGTGTGTGTGTGTATATGTGTTTGTGTTGGTGTGTGCGTATTTGTGTTTGCGTGTTTGTTTGTTTGGTTGGTTGGTTGTTTGTTTTGTTTGTTTTGTTTGTTTTGTTTGTTTTGTTTGTTTTGTGGGTTTTGTTTGTTTTGTTTGTTTGTTTGTTTGTTTGTTTGTTTGTTTGTTTGTTTGTTTGTTTGTTTGTTTGTTTGTGTGTTTGTGTGTTTGTGTGTTTGTGTGTTTGTGTGTTTGTGTGTGTTTGCGTGTTTGTGTGTTTGTTTGTTGGTTGGTTGGACTGTGTGTTTGTTTGTTTGTTTCTTTCTTTGTTTGTTTGTATTTGTGTGTGTGTTTTTGTTTTGTTGTACGTTTGTTTTGTCGTTTGTGCTATACTGTGTTGGTGCTTTGTTTGGTTCTACTGGTGGCAGGACAGCACGACTCAAACGTTGGAAGAGGTGACAGACATCAAAGCTTTCTCATACCCTCATCACCTTGCACTGAGCTGGTAAACCCTAAGCCAACCATAAACTCCAAACACGTTGAGGGGCCATCGTTCGGGATTAATTTTAGCTTCAACATCTAGGCCCCTGAACCCTGAGAGAACTCCAGCAGCTCTAAATCTCTGAAGTGCTAGCAGGGGCTGCATCTTTCCGTTGCCAGCAGCTTTCCACGGACTCACAGCCGGTGGCAGTACCGTAAATTTCTTCGCTGCGATCTCGCTGCGATTGTCAAGACTGTCATTACAACAGGATTGACTACGTAGAAGGTATGCTTTCTGGTTCTTCCGATGTGGTCACCATAAAAAAATAGCGCTGTTGTCGCTTGTTTTCTGCTGGTCTTCTCGAACTTGTTAATATAGGGGCCGTTATAACTGTCTATTTGTTTTTTTTTTTTGAGGGGGGGGTCCTTATTATAATTGTAGTAGAATGTACCCCAAAACCCTATTCTAATTATTAAGGCCCTTAGATTATAGAACCCTTTATCGTAACCCTGTAGTCTCCCTTTAAGGAACTCATTAAATTGGAACCCTTAGTTAGCTCGGCTCTAATTATGAAGGCCCCGAATATAGGACCTATTATAGATCCCTTACAGAACCCTTTAAGGATCCCTTTAAAGGAGTCCTATAACCCCTAAACCCTAAACCCTAATATTTACTAAGGCTCTAAACCCTAAACCCTAAACCCTAAACCCTAAACCCTAAACCCTGAACCTATATATGAGCTCGATTTCCAGCTGCAGAAGGCGCCTGGAAGCCGATCTCGGCGGAGCCCTGCCGCCGACGCGGCACCACGGCCGTGGCGGCCTGAAGGTCTTCTGTGACCCGCGGTTTAGGGTTTAGGGTTTAGGGTTTAGGATTTAGGATTTAGGGTTTAAGGTTTAGGGTTGTTTTAGATTGATTTTTGAAGGGTGCGTGCTTGCTGGAAGTCTTTAAGTTGTGCTTCGCCAAAAGTTATCATGCGCAATTAAGTGTCCTGTTTTGTTCGGCCGTGTGAGGGCCATGCGACTGGCATTGGTTGATCTTCTTTCAGGCTTCCTTCAACACATCTGCGGGGCAGCCCTACTCGACCAGCCGGACTGAATTGGATTGGTTTCTCAATCTGGATGCGGTACAAGGCTGATAGAGCCGAAGCTGGATTAATTGAAGGATTGGAAGCTTGTGGGAAGGGCCCCTACAATAGCAACCGCCATCCAGAAAATGTTGTCGGATTACGCCAGTACCGACTGCGCTGATCTAGGCAAATGGCCAATGCAAGATGCGATCCGATGGAGGAATATACGCACTGTGCAGGGGGTGCCCTGAAGCGGAGAGTGTTCGCAGGTCGCATCAGAGGCTCCAGGGTCCAGCACAGGAGCTAAGAACCCCCCGACTCTGTGACCAAAGTTGAGGCCGCGTGATTTCGTCACGGTGCCTTCCCCATCGGGTGAGCGCCGAGGGCCCAGAGCGGACTGTGCATCTGTTTGGGCTTGCCTCATCTTGAAGAGATTGGCAGCTGTAGACCGGTCTGCAGTCGTGAGCTGGTTTGAGTCTTGCTAGCGGGCCTTATTCTGAAGAGGGGTCATCGCTGTTTCATGTGCTTGGCTTGCACGACTGGAATCGGGGCACGTACTTCTCTCTGAGACGGAAGCCCAGGAGTGGACATCCGACCTTCGCCACGTCGTTGCCTGAGGTTGAAGCCCTGTTTTACGGCACGAGGCATGGCATGATCTGTGGCAGTGTATGTCATGGACACCATCTCCGAAACTCGCACTAAAACAAAATATGTGCACGCGCACAAACAACTGAAGATGCAAAGGCTGATGCAGAACATGCATAGGTAGATGATGGTCTATAAACACGCATGTGTAGATAGACAGACAGATAGATCGACAGACAGACAGACAGCCAGACAGACAGAGAGAGAAGTAGATAGATAGACAGATGGACAGATGGACAGGCTGACAGAGAGACACAGATATAGACAGCTGGATAGATGGACAGATGTAGCATGTTGGAGCGATCGGATCAGGATATATATATATATATATATATTTTTTTATTTATATTTATTTATTTGTTTATTATTTCTAGTTATTTATTTGTCATTTATTTATTTGTTTATTACTTTAGATTGTTTTAAGGAGTCTGTTGTACGTACGTTCAAATCTGTCGGATCTGCCTGCGACCGCCAAGACTTCTCGCGGCGTTTGGCCTCGCTCTCTGAGGTTCGGAGGGACTTAGAGCTTCTTTAGGGTTTAGGGTTTAGGGTAAACCCTAAACCCTAAACCGAACCCGACGTTTTGTGTTTACCATTCTGATTGGCCAGCTTGATTTGTGGTCTAGGGCCTCATACTTGGAATCATTTTGCGTGGTTGAAGTTGTTGGAGATGTGCAGAGCAGACTCCATGCGGTGGCTCTTTCAGACCCCTTTGGCAAGCGGCTTAACGGCTTAACAGCTTTGCACATGCAAGACTGCAAGACTGCCTGACGAAAGACGGCTTGAAATTGGCACGATCAAGTTGATTACGCCGATCACGCAACATTTCAGCGCTTGCAGCATCCTCATCATGCACTAAGACCTGATGTAGTGGCAGAGAGAATCCGTCCTTCAGGAGCAGACTCGCTCCGGGCCACGTACTCTCTCACGGCGTTGGAACCTCAGCCGGGGCGAGGCGGCCTATGACTGGCTCCTTGCAGTCGAGACATGCTCGGGCATCTAGAGATGTGAACTGACCAAGGTCGGGGGATTCAGGACGGGACCTCAGCTATGGCTATATATGATCAATGCAGCAGAAATCCCGAGATTCTAGCTCCGCTAGCACTGCGCAACCGCGAGTCGATGGGCTCTTTTGCTCGAGGGCCTGGGAAGCGAAAATGCATCGGCGGATCTGAAGGCGTGCTTGGGTGAAGTGATCAGAGTGCCTTGAGCATTGACCTTCAGCCTAGCCCTTTGCAGCCCGGACCGAATGCTGACAAGATACCAGTGACATGCATGCGTGGATAAATAACGAGTATTTGCGCATGTGTGTGAGTGCTTATTAACATGACAACTTGTAAGATAGTATAGTACAATACAGCACAGTAGAATATACGAATTAATTTACTGTAACATGTAATATAACCGAAAAAGACAGTATAGAACATAATTTGAACATAATACAATACAACATACTACAGCATGCTTTAAAAGACTAGACTAGACTATACTGTACAGATAATTTGATATAATAGATACACGGCAATGTAGTGCAATACAGTATAAGACAGTGTAACAGAATAGAACCATGTACAATAATAGTATGTATATATACACAGACAGATACATGTAAGTACATTCAGTGTTTGTGATACATGTATGTATATATACACATGCTTGCATGCACATGGATAGATTGATAGACAGACAGTTAGATAGATCGATAGATAGATAGATGGATAGATATGTATGAGTTCGTTTAGTTCCGATGGTTTGTAGCCTTATTGTACGTGTTGCACAGACATGGATGCGCCGGCCCTTCTTCATTTGACACAAAACTTGCCGGCAGGCCGGATGTTCCACGGAGGAGGCATAGAAGGGGAGTGGGCTCGGCCTGATGGGGCTTGGTGTTGGGGGTTTTTCCGTACCCACAGTCGTCTATATCAGGACACCCGGTAATTTTGAGGTGAAATCAAACCAAGCTAGACCGCATAGCTTAAAGCGCAAAGGAACGAATAAGTTCAAAAGACAGTATCGTTGCACACACGTTACACTGCAAGCTTGGAGTTAGAGGTCCACCGTCTTCTTTGCACAAGATTGGGTGATCCAGGGCCTTGAGGGCCCCTGCATCGTTCATGGACTCGGAAGTGTGACAGCTTTCAAAGACCTTTTGTTTCTTGTCAGCTGTTACATTAGTTCTAAGCCTGAAATCACCTCTTTCCGCACATCCGGACCTGCTTTTTTTAATGTCGGTACACTGCTACTTCTTGCTAGTTTGGGTAAACATGGCCGTCGCAATCGCACTCTTGTTGTCTAGCGCTTCAGGCCGTGCCGACCTCCGATGCACTGTTAGTTGTTGCCGGTTCGATGTTGAGGTGTCTGAGAGTCGAGGTATTTTGTACATCGCAGACAGGAGTCGTTGCATTAGGGGCACCGCGACCTCGAACGGTTCGCACAGGAGGTTAGACGCCTTCATGCAGAAGCATCCAAACAACCCAAGTTGCTGACCTCGGCAGTCCTTGCAAATGCTCCTGCGCGCCACATTCGACTTGGCAGGTGCTTGGCGAGGAGGCTGGTGGTTCGACGGCGAAGAACTTTCAATTTACTTTTTCATAGCCACATACCGGCAGGAGCGCCTGCCTCGTCTCTTGGGAAGATGTGGAGCACCGGAGGCTTTGTTGGTTTCTGTGGCTTGGGCCTACAACTCCATGTGAAGTGCTGACGGCACGAGCTTTGATTCCTGGCATCCCGTACTGGCAACTCGGAAAACATCGAGACCCAATTGTAGTCTTGCACTCGCGACTACTCCTTGTACTGGGGAACGACGACGACGAAAACAACAGGGCAACGACAGCAACAAGCACTGCTGATGCTGCTGTTGCTGCGGCTGCACCAATTGCTATTGCTGCTACTACTACTGCTACTACTACTACTACTACTACTACTACTGTGACTTCCACTACCACTACCACTGCTACTACTACTACTACTACTACTACTACTATTACTACTACTGCTACTACTACTACTACTACT